AAAATACCATTCCGGTCAATTCATTTCAAATTAAACATCGAGTTAAATGCATTAAAGAAAGGAGATTTACTATTTCTAGTAAATAGTTATTTTACATTAAAAAGGAACATTCAAGGAATGTCAAACTGTAGTAGTACATATATAAATGAATTTGCAATTGGCAGTAGAAAGAGCTCGTGTTTGGTGCATTTTACAAAATCTACCTCTTCCTCATTACAATGCAGTGATGCACTTCCTAAGACAAACAAATAGGAGAGTGCTTACAAATTATAAAATATACAAAGGTATCTTTTGTAATTATTGTAATCCTCCTGTCCAGATTTTGTAACACAAAACAAGCCATTATTCAATTTGAAGTTACAGAATACTGAACATCTGCATCACAACTTCTCCCAAAAACTATGCATGAATGTTTTTTTGGCTACATTTTATAATAGACTAATCAAACTTCATCAAATCATGCTTGGGCAAAATTATTTCCATCTCCCAGCACAAGATTCTCCTTCCTCTGTGCCTTCAATCTCTCTTTCAACTTCTTGCTCGCTTCAAAATTCGCCTTCCGCTTAAGAGCTTTCTGCAGCAGGAGTAAGTCTTTATTAATCATAGTTTTCAGGAGAAAAATTTAATTTAAAAACCTATTAATATTTAAGTATTCAGCCTTACTTCTTCACGGAAACACCTATCAAGCTTAATTTTTAAACTTGTGCAATGGCCAAAAAACTTCCCAAGAGGATGGTCAATATGGCACTTCTGGAACTCTTCAATAACCTGTGTGTAAAATACGTACTATTGCACCTAGCCAATCGTGAAACCTTGCTTTCATACAAATTGTATATGATTCAATCAGCTGTACTTTTCAAGAAATCGAAACAATAATTTCAACATTACTGGAAATAAGGCCATTATTTTTTTATCCTGACAAGAACCAGTTTTGGAACTTACAATACGTGAGTGAGAAAACCTTTTTTTTTTTCTTTTTAAATTTTATTTCCCGTTACGAGTTAATTCTAACCACTATACCAGGAAAATACATGTATGGAGAAGGTAACAATGGCAATCATATATTTTATTTTCTAGAGTAACAACCGAGCCATCAGCCATNTTAACAAATATATATATATATATATATATATGTACAATACACGCACAGGCTTTCCTACACACACACACACACACACATATGTATATGTGTGTAAGAACTTACTTCAGCACACATGGGGTGCCTGTGAATCGATAAGGGGGGATGCATTCTGTTCCTGGCAAACTATTAGCTGATCACAGCAGACCTTAAAAACTGCAGGGAAATTAAAAATCAGATAAAAAGAGATAAAAAGAACTCCTATGTAACAAGTGAGCCGATCAACAAGAAACTAGTTCATTCACTTCAGAATTGTTCTTATCTCTGTCCCCATAAATCTCCACTTTTCTTTTTGTCTGTAAATTTCCCTCCAAAAAATAACCTGGAGAAAACTATCAAAAGGGGAAATTTGTTTACACATATAACTGTTACCAAGTGCTGCAAACACACAATAATAATGAGCATCACAAAGTTTGGAGTCGATGCCCTGATATTCTTCCTTTCTTTTGCACTCAATTCAAAACATTGATCACAAAAGAATAAGATGTTCCATAGCCCCAAGAGAAACAGCCATAAATTCAAAAACTATAAAAGTTGGATAACCATGAATTTCAAATTATCCCAGAAATGGAAAGAGCAAAAATATCATTGCAAATAGATACATCTGTTACCTCTATTTACTCAGACTCCATGGAAAAAATTATAAAACTTACATACACATAGAATTGCCAATAAAAGAAGACGAAGAAGAAAAAGGGAAAAAATGTAAATTTGATGACAAACTGAAACAGACAAATAAAAAATCTCAAGCAAATGAAGATGGAGGGAAAGCGAAATCACCTGAGAGAATCGCAGAAATTGCATCCGTGAGGTTCAGGCGTTACGCGTTCAGCTGTGTATACACCAAATCCAGAAAACCTCACCGACTGAACGAAACGCATTTGCCACGTATTTGCAAAGTTCTTGCTCCATTTGCACGGAAAACTATATAATACATGAAAAAATAATAAAAATTATAAACAATAGTAAAAATTATAACAAAATCATTAAAAAAAATTAAAAAAAAAATATAAATATTCTTAAACATTTTTCTATAAAACAACGTCGTGGTTTTTCTATCGTCAAAATCTCTCTCAGCTCAAATCAAAATCTTCAAACCCCAGTGACTCATAACTCTAAAAAGTGTCATGTATAATTGCTCATGACTAAATGCTGAGCTCTTCAGTAGTAAGCCGACGTGCGACAGAGACTATCTTTGATTCTTATTGATCATATCATAGCATAGGAAACACTTCTTTATATTGTTTGTCCTTGACTCTTATTGATTGATAGAGATTGTCCTTACTTCTTAATAAAAAAATACCATCTAAATATAAATGAGTAAATATATTATTAATTTTTTATATAAACAAAAAATTTAAAGATCTGTAATAGATCTGTAAATATATGTATTTTTTT